GGGGTTGAGAGGGAGTAAGAGAAAAAAACCTTTGCTACTGGGAACTCAGCAAAATGTGACTAGAGCTGCAGCAATGTAGAAGATGGTAAGAGAGTGACTCTCCAAAGATCTTTGTCCTGACAAAGCCAGGAAGGGCCAATACATTGTTCTTTCCAACACAGGGATGTCAGCAAATAAATTATATGTGAAATTTCTTTCCAATTTGCTGAGCAGGTCTCTGGTCAATATGGAAACTCATGCACCCACAGTGGTCTGGTAACTTCTGAAGCATAAAGTTGACATTTATAATAACAGGTTCAGATTGAGCTCAGTACAAGTTCCTGCCAAATGTATGCCTGGGAACTATGTCATAAAGTAGATTAGCGTTGGGTACTGGCTTTTCTTAGAGAACAAATGGGCAATAGGGGTAACATGACTGGGCATCAAATAAATCCAGATTTACCCAGCAGTATATCATAAATATCAAAAACAAAATAATAACCCTTTGAAATAGTAAAATTATGTTTCATATCCTGCCAAAGTATGTCATGATACTGTGTTTGTTGGTTAAACAAATGGTCCTAAAGTTCATGTTAACTTACCAGTGAGAGATGTGAAGTCTCACATTCACAGAAGAAATGAATGCCACATACACACTGAGGAATGCTTGGCTGGACAGTAGTTTATGTTATAAAACAAAAATAAAAACAACACATACAGAAAAACTAAGGGCTTGGGTTGATGAATGGGCAGTTCTGGTCAGCCACCAGGCTCCAGGAAGCCCCACTGAGTTAGCTGTTCCTTGGTCATGTCTGGCATAATTGGAGATGCCCATGTGTCATGAAGCAGCAATTCCACTTCCTGGCAACATCTACCCTGGATGCGGGGACTGCTCTCGCATGCGTGAGATGCTCAAGTACTACATGTAGCAGTAAATTTCCATGAATTCAGAAATGAACACATACCTGGAGGAGCTTTCATGTGATGAATTAATTTAAGTGAATGAAATGTATCTACATAAATGAATCTTAAAGATGTCGAATAAAAAAAGCAAGTTGCAAACGGACATGGACAGTATAATACCATTTGTTTACATTTTTTAAATTTGCAAAACATAGTAAAAACAATCGTGAGTGGGAGAGATTTCTATCAGCCTCAAGGGAGAGGGATGGGAATAGGAAGGAGGGCTTCAATTGTACTGGAGATATTTTATTTCATTTTTTTATTTAAAAACATGTAAGGGGAGAGGGTAGAGCTCAGTGGTAGAGCGCATGCTTAGCACGCACGAGGTCCTAGGTTCAGTCCCCAGTACCTCCATCAAAAATAAGTAAGTAAATAAATAAACCCAACTACCTCCCCCCAAAAGACAAACAAAAAATTAAGATAAATAAATAAATTCACCTGGAATTTTTTTTAAAAAGCAATAAACTCTAGATTTAAAAAAAATTAAGTAAATACAGTAAAAAACATTAACATCTGTTAAATTTGAGTAGTGCTTTCATGGGTATGTATTGTATTATTTTCTGTACTTTTACCATATGATCGAAGTGTTTCATAACTTTAAAAGAAAATATTTTAAATGCATAAACATGGTTAACTAAATTTTGAATAGTTTTAGCTTCCTCCAAATTTGTTTTTTTATGTGTATTATATATATAATGTATATTACTGTATATTCTAGTAAATAAATTTCAGAAAATTAGAAAAAATAAATTACTCAGACTCTCATCTTCCAAAAACAGTCATTGTTAATGTTTTAGTATTTTTCCTTCCATTTTTTTTCTTTATGTGGGTGTGTGTTTTTAAACATACTTCTAAGCATCTTGGGTACACATATTGAATTCTGCCTTTTTCACTCATTATAGCTTCACCCTTGTTCCATGTTAAGACTTGGCCTCCATAAACATCATTTCTATTGATTTCTAAAAATCTTTCATAGCTTACTTTTCTTGCATATAAACAGTCATGAACATTCAGCAGTCACACAGTCACATTTCCTTTTGATTATCGTAAACATAATCCTTTTGAAAGTCTCCAGAACAGGATTGGGTCACACTCTGCTGTTGATTTCTACAAGGCTGTTTTGTGTGGGATGACAGTAAAAAGGTCTGTCACATCTGTGATATCACATTCCCGCAAAGACTGAGCTTGTCGGCATTCATCCCGTAGGCGGGAAGTGTGCATATTTTAGAAGCCAGCTCTATGTGCATCTTGCCTGAGAGGAAACAAGTGCTCATGCATCCAGCATCTGGTCTGGGCTCCTGAACCTGCAGCTGGGGGAATATTTGCTGATCCTATTAAATTCCTGGTTTGAGGCCCAGGGAACAGCAGAAATTATTCCAAGTATTTATGTGCCCCTACCTGGCTTATAGATGCTCTCACATCAATTGCCTCCTAATCCTCTCTGGGCCCCTGAGGGAGATGCAGAGCCGGCACACGGGATTATAACCAGTAATTGGGAAAGTCAGGACCACTGCTGGATGATCCTGACTCCTTCTATCCTTAGACCCAGGCAAAAGGAGCCTCTGCTGTGGGCTCTGGACTCTAGGCAGCTTCCCCAGGTCTGCCCAGAGCCCACTCTTCCAATCCTATACCACACCCTGGGGCCCTGGTATTCCCTGTCACAGGCCTGAGCACCGCCAGGGCCTGCATTAGCCTGAATCTGTCCTCCTGGGGACCAGACCACCAGTGTGTGCATGCCCAGGCCCAGGGCAGCAGCTTGGAGGGTGCACAGAGCTTAGACGTCCGGGCTGCAGGAAGTACCTAGGGTTGAGGGGTGAGGGCTAGAGGCAAGTGCAGAGGCTGAAGGCCAGCATCCCCTGCAGTGTACTGCAAAACTGCAAGGTCCCTGAGGATTCTAAACTCAAGCCTGGCCTTCTCAGTCACTATGAAGCTATATCTGTTAGAGTAGGAGGATAGAATAGATGCTGTGTAACAGTTCGTTAGCTTGATCTGTAACTTTTAACTATTCAGAGATTCAGCAGGTAGACCTCCCTTTCTACTCTCAGAAACCCGCAGATATTAAGAACAGTCTTGGCTCTCTTAAAACACGATGCTGTTTCCAGGTTCCCTTTCTTTTCTATGCAAGGCTACAGATATACCGAGGGGGTGCAAAGAAAAACAATCTAGAGCCCCAGAAAAAAATAAAACAATTTAGTGTGTAAAATCCGAACAGATCAGACACCCCAGTGTCAACATATAAAGCAAGAAATGCATTTCAGGACAAAATAGAGTACAAACACCTGCTGTGCGGATGAATCAGCCTGGCACGATGTAGCAAAATCAGAAATAGAAGCCAGCTAGTAAAGCTCCAATCTGCTGTCCTTCGCCTTCTCTCTGTTTCTCTGCCTCCCCCGTCACAGTTCCTACACGTGGACCACAGAACTAACACCCTCTGTTGGTTGCTTTAAGTTGTGCAAGAAGCCAGACCCCTGGTTTTCCTACAATGAGAGAAATTGTCTCACCAGCCCCACCAGGGTCAGCATGGAAAATAAGTGTTGCAAAGACTTTCATTTAAATTGTTGTTTGACCACTGAACTAACTTTTTTCCAGCCCTTTATTCCCCAGCAATACTTCTGTCTTATGATCGAGGATTTAACTGAATGGGAAAGCATGAACTCATTCAGACAGTTTCATTGTGCTGTTCTTCTCCCGTTCAGAAAACAGAGATAAACAACTAGACTCTGAATAATTAAACACACATATTAGGACAAAAAAGTCTTTACAAAGTCTATTCTGTAAGTGATGATTCACTTGACTTTCACAGCTATCCAGCAAGGAAGCTATTTCCATGGTATAGGTAAAGAATCTACATCAAAATATGAAAATGAATATATGTATATGTATATGCATGACTGGGACATTGTGCTGTATACCAGAAATTGATACATTGTAACTGATGGTATTTCAATTAAAAAAAAAAGAATCTACATAGGAGATGTCAAGTAACCCAGCTGAGGTTATTCAGCTGAGAGATGGCACAGGGGGTATTCTAATTTGGGGCTGATCCTAAATCACTGTAAGGATTCAGATATTCAAATGAAAGAGTAGATTTTGTCCAAATTTTAATTCATCAAGAGAAGAGAGTCACCTTATATCAAAGCCCTCATAGTCACTCATGTTAGGGGAGCCTGTCTCAATTTTTAATTTTCATTTTAATGAAGTTTTTTGGAGAACAACACATTAGCCTGGACTAGCCTCTGAAAAATGGTAATTTTGGAAGCTTGTGGAGGTTGCCTGACCAAATTAGTTTTTAAAGATGTGGGGATGGATCTCTAATACAGATTTAGTAATTATTCCTGAAAGTATGCTTTGTGATTGCAGATGAGGCTTTTTAAAGATTTCTTTTTAAGTGCTACCTTGTGAAGATTGTGGATAGGATGATTTTTCACTGACAAATCATACAGGGACCTAAAATGTTCCAACAAGACAGATGGAAATGAAGTTAATGTTCTTGGAAAAACTAAAGACAAAGACCCTGATGTTAAAGATGCATATAAATACTTTGAATAGAACTGTTTCATGAAATGTGAGAGACCAAACAAAACAATGTATTCAAATTAACATTTTATTCATGACAGTTTAAATATATAATGTGTAACTAAAATAATAAACATTATAAGTAGATTTACATTATGGCAGACATTTGATTATGTCATCTATATATTCAAGTTGGCAGAAATCATTTGGGGGGTCTTCTCTTTGGGAAACAGGGGCTGACCTGAGGCTCGGGTAACAAACACACTCAGTGGTTTTTCCAAAGCACCAGCTGCAACCCAAGATGAGGAAGAAGCAGGTTTGGGTGCTGGATCCACATCAATGATGAAGGTTACACACTGGCCCCTGTGTCTCCAGACAGCTCCTCACAGTTTCCCAAACATTGCTTCACTTGGACTTCCCAGCCTCCTGTGCAGTAGAGTTGGGCTGTCCTGAAGGTTCCCCCAAGGACCCCATGTCCCCCAACATCAATGACTTGGGTTGGGGTCGAGATGTGATGAGACTGCTTTTCCCGTCTCTCTTAGGCAGCACTGGTTGGGGGTACCACCATGATCATTGGCCACGTCCTGCCTGACAAGGAGACCTCCCTTGTGGATGCCTATGAGAAGTGCCGGGGTCTGGCTGACCCCAAAGTCTGCTGTGACTACGCCCTCCACGTGGGGATCACCTGGTGGGCACCCAAGGTAACAGTGCTGGATGGAACCCCAAAATAGAAACCAGTGGCTTTTTTGGCGGGGGGGGCCATTTGGTGGGAGCCAGTGGCGGGGTGATGTTCTCCTGCAGTGTGGAACACCCCTCTCACCACCATCCTAACCCCCCCAAATGACAAAAGAAAAATCACTTATGATTCCATAAGAGGGGCGGTGGGCCTGTCTTGCTTAAAGAGCCAGTTTTCCAGGAGACATAGAGGGCGCACTGGCTCCTTGCTTGGACCACAGGTGCTCAGTGTCTCCTGATGGTTTACATTAGTGCCACTGACATGTAAGGATTTGCTGCTGAGTAGTGGGCTCAGCAAGGGTCAGGTCCCAAGGGTTGGATCATTTTGTGCTTGAAGTGACAGCACTGAGGTCTCAGAACAGAGGGTCCTGTCCTGGCTCCTGTCTGGTATGAATGGACTGGGGAGCTTCCTTCCTGCTGGGACCCAGCTGCTGCTCTGAGCGCCCTGCTCCTTATGCGTGGTCGAGGCTGACTCCCACTGGGCCCTCTCTCAGTTCAGCCTCTGTGCCCCTGGCTTTCCTGTCCTCCCGCTGCCCAGGCCCCAGGGCCAGAGTCCCGTCCCCTCTCCCCAGATTCCCACTTCCTTGTTCTTCCTGAATACAGATACACGTAGCGTTCAGATTTTGCTTCATTTCTGGAGTTTTATTGCTTATTACCCCAGGGAAGCAGCCTGGATAGTCATTCTTTCATCAATGATTTCTTAATCACTCTGAGCCTATACTTGCGTGGGTGCCCTGGAATTATCAAAAAAAACAAGCATTAAGAAACTTTACAAAGGTCTCCAGCTATGGACCCTGGTCTAAAGGGCCTGACTCCCTTCTGAGATGGGAAATAAAAGCCTTGCTGGATTTCTGCCCTCAGTTACGAGTCTTGAGTGTGGGTCTCACCCAGTCTCTTCCATTATTTCCAAACGTACTTATGAAAGGCCTTGGGGCCCCCCAACCTTACACCATGAAGACCCCCCTTCCTGGTACTGGGCAAAAGGTGCAGACCACCTGTATGTCAACCACCCTTTATCTCACATGGAGCTTTGTCCATTCTGGACACCCTCCTGGGTGGATGACCCCTACCCCGAGCCTCTCTCCTAGCCATCCCTAAGTTCCCAGAGGTTGTAGAGATTTTCATGTGTCTAAAATTTTAAATTCTTTTTTATAATAATCAAATAATTTTTTTCTAAGTACAGATTTAAAAAATAGAAAAGAAAGGAAGCATATAACCAGTCACCCCTGACACAATCACTATTATTTTTAGCTTATTTCCTTCAGGTCTTTTTTCATACCTGCTTTCTTTCACTGAAGTGTGAGCATTTTCCATTTGGTTGCACGGCCTTCATGACCATCAATGCCGTGGCCACCGAATGTTCTGTCAAGTAGGTGAATCACTATTTATTTTCCTATTGTTAGACCAATGTTTCTTCCATTCTTTCCTAGTATAAATAATGTTGGGATGAATATCCTTATTCACATAGCTTTGGATCATGCTTGGCTTTGACCCTAAATTAGATTTTCCCCAGGTCTCTGGATTTTTAGTATTAGTGTGCCTTCTCTGTAACACTTCTTCCACTATGCGGGGTGAAGGAGGGGGGTGGAGGGAATGGGCCACAGGTGTAAGTCATTAGTGCATTTACCATGAAGGCTGATTTGGAGACAGAACCACAGGACCAGCCTATGTGATAGGAGAAACATGCCCAGAGAATGCCACGATTTAGTTCCTATATTTGTGTCATAAGGACAATTTTCAGAGTACTTCCATTTGCTCACATGACCTCACAGCAGCTGGTGGAGTGGGAGGAAAGCAAGATACTGAGAGGTTGCAGGTGGTGTTGTGGTGGCTCCATCGACGGACCCCCATCTCCTCCACACTGGGCCTGCGTCCAGCAGTCCACCTCCTGGATATGTGTACTCACATGGCCTTGCTTTACACTTTGCTCTGCAGGTGAAGGTGGAAATGGAGACCCTGGTGAGGGAGAAGGGTGTCAACTCATTCCAGATGTTCATGACCTACAAGGACTTGTATATGCTTCGGGACAGCGAGCTGTACCAAGTGTTCCATGCTTGCAAGGATATTGGGGCGATCGCTCGAGTCCATGCTGAAAACGGGGAGCTTGTGGCTGAGGCAAGGCGGTAGAGAATATTGGGGAAAGTGGGGGGCACCAAAAGAGGCAGTTCTTGGGGATTCCGGACCACCCATTACTCATCCTATAAAACAAAATATAAAAACAAGTGTGAGATGTTAACACCCCAGATGACAAATCTTTGTCCCAAAATCCAGACTTTTCTATTGTCTGTAAAAAACAAGTCTCTTTGTATAGTTCAGAAGGATTTCTAAGTCTTGGTTGATGAGGTCTTAATTCTAATATGATATTTAACTTCCATTATAGCAAAGGAATTTGGAGCACCTCTAAGAAGTATTTTTAATGAGATTTGACATACAGAATAACTAAGAGTCAGCTTTCCCCTTCCCTGTGCCTCCTCCAGAGGAGCTGAGCTATTCTAAGGATCTTCTCACTGATGCCAAGATGACAAGCCCTTTTGTACTCCTAGGTCTTAAGTAGGATGTTTAGGGTTGGGTTAATCTAGGCATCGCTGGAAGCTCGAGATTTCACTAGATTGCCAGTGAGGAAATTCTGATTTTCAGATCAATAAAGCATGCTTGTCTTTAGTGTCCCAGGCCTGCTGGCTGGTGACTAAACTGTATTCTTAAGAGGAAAAGATATTTTCAATCATTATGAAGTGAGACTCAGGGGAGCCCTGTGCTTATCTTGCCCTCTTTATAGAAGATGAATATTACAGAAGTGAGAAGTGCAGCAAGTCTATGGGAATGGGCTGTGTCTAGCATATTTCACTGTCCCTTGGGTTCAATATTATTTTGTATCTCTATGATCCTCTCAATATTCTTTCTATTGCTATTATTCAGGGCGCTAAGGAGGCGCTAGATCTGGGTATCACAGGCCCTGAAGGAATTGAGATCAGCCGTCCAGAGGAGGTGAGGAAGAGTTCTGTGTCCTTTGTCAACTTTTTTCTTAAAGGTTTGGAGATTCTTTAGGATAAAAGATACATCAGTAAATGTAAGTTGTATGGTATCACTTTCTCCATGGGTGAAACTCCCATCTGGAAGCTTCCCAGGGAACAGCTTCCTCCGTGCTACAGCTGAGCTGGCCTGGGGCTTCCCTGGGGAAGGCAACTTGGGGGAAACCAGACCCACCTCACTGGGTTCTGATTTCAAGGATCTGAGGGAGGCAATGTGCGCATGCCAGGGGTTGCTTTGCCCAGAATTGAATCGGGAGAGAAAAGACAGACTGAAAGGACCTTCAAATGTTAGAAGAAATTCCAGGTTATAAGCCAGTGACAGCATTATGGGGATAAGATCTCTTTGAGCATCTGAAGAGAACTTTGGACCCTTCCCACCAGAAACGAGAGGCACATGCATGTCTGTGCTCTTTCCCCTTTTCCTATTCCTAAGATGGCCCTGCTCTCTCTCTGCCCTCTGGTGTTCTCCTTGCACAATTTTGCAAGATGTCATCACAAACCCCCCAGATCCCCCTTGCTGAAGAATTCGGCTCTGGAGAGACCACATTAGACAAATAATGCATTCTTTTTTTCTTTTAATGTATTTTAGATGTAATTATTTATTTATTTTTGGCCAGGGAGTGGGGAGGTAATTAGGTTTATTTACTTTATGAGAGGTACTGGGGATTGAACCCAGGACCATGTGCATGCAAAGCGTGCACTCTACCCCTGAGCTATACCCTCCCCAAATAATGCATTCTTGCCCTATGACCCTGTTCAGACATCCTCTACCATTGGTGAGGGGAAGGCTATTTTCCATTTCTTCAAAGCCTTAAATGCAGAGCGGTGGTTGGATGTCCATGAGGGATTGATGGAGAGGCCTTGAGGGACAAGGAGCTGGAGACAGGATGTGATGGTACTGTCCTCAGACAGGAACCAAATCAGCCTAGTGGGTCAGCTGGGGGATTGTGGTCCCACCTTGTTCTTGCCCTAGGTCTGTCAGAGCCCTTGACTGTAGTTCCTGTTTGGGCACCTCAGAGTTGGTAGAGAAAGATACACTGGATTGAACAAAGTCAATACACTGAGACTGTCTATGAGAACAGGGATGGTTAGGGGACGGGCACAGGACTGGACCTTTTGGAGTTCTAGGGGAGAAGAGCCAAGCTCTGAGTGTAGGGGTAGTAATAGCAAAAATTATCACCATCATCATCTATTGATTGAAGGGAAGTGTCCTGGGTCTAAACCGGAGAGATTGTTCTCCCCAGGGACATTTGGCAATGTCTAAAGATACTTGTTTATCCCAGCTTGGGGTGGGGGAGGATGTTACTGGCCTCCAGTAGGTAGAGTTGAAGGATGCTGCTGAAGAGCCTCCAACGCCCAGACGGCCCCCACCAGCGAGAATTATCTCATCCAAAATGTCAGTAGTGCTGAGGTTCAGAAACCTGATCTAGGCCAGTTCCAGCTTGAAGTCAGTCAGTATTGCTCCTTTGCTACAGTTCTGAGATGTCTGTGGAGAGAATGCACCAGAAACCAGAGAAACTGTGACTCTGGGTTTTTGTTTGCTCATTTTGTTGCCTTTAAGCCCTTAGCAGCATCCAGCGAAGATGTGCCTGGATCACTAAGTCCTGGGATTCTCTCAATGTGAGCAAAGGTGATTGGAGCTTGGTGCCCCTGCCCTGGGCTTCTCCCCACTCAGAGCCAGCTGTCCCCCTCGGCCCTGTGTCAGACGTTCCAGTGCTTTCCATCAGGTGGGGTCTCAGGCAGATGTAAGCTTGTTTGGGGAGTTGGTGAAGCTTGTTTTCTTTCTGTTCTCTGTTTCCAACAGCTGGAAGCTGAAGCCACTCATCGAGTTATCACCATTGCAAACAGGGTAAGTAGATGCCAACTCACCCTAAGCCCATTCTCAACTCTGGGATCAGAAACCAGTCTGTATGGTGGAGTCCCATTCTGGTGGATGCCAGCTCTGTGCCTGGCTCCCAGGACCCCAAATGAACACTGTTTGCTAAGTAAACATTGTTATTCCCACAGACCTGGCAGGAGTCCTCCTTGCCACCAGCTCTGCGTTTCATCCCCACTGAGCTTGCTGGGACCTGGTTCATTGCTCAAGTGGAAATGGCTCCCAAGGCAGGGCAAGGTGGGGACCTCAGAGCTCATGGCAACTGAAATCTGTTTCTTGTAGAGGAATAGAGAGATGTTTGCTTAGAGAACCATGATTTAAACCTCTGTCTCTGGGCCATTCATAATTTTTCCTTGCTGGTTCAGGGTAAGCAGGCGCTGATGTAGCGTGGTGGTGGGAACAAGCAAGAGACATGAGGCTTTGACCAGACAAGTTTCCCATTGTATGCAAGGCAGTCTCTCTGATACACTATTGAGTATCTAAAATTGGAATGGTAATATCACCCACTCCTCACAGGATGGTTGTGAGGATCAAAGGAGTCGTGAAAGGAAAAGCACTTTATCAACAGTACAGCCCGTACCAAGGTCATTTCTCCTCCTAAACCATCATTAAAGGGTTCAATTTGCTCAGAGAATATAAACTATCTTCTCTAGAACATTAGTTTTCTAAGTGAGGTCCCTGCACCAGCCGCATTGGTATCATTTATTAGAAATAGGAACTCAGAAGTGCAAATGCTCAGACCTGTGCAGATCCACTGGATCAGAAACAGGCTGACACCCGGTGACCCCCAGCAACCTGTGTTTTAACAAGCCCGCTAATGATTCCTAACGGGCGCTAACTCTTGAGAATTTCTCCTCTGGAAAGACCTGGGCTCCCCCGAAGGCTGTAAGCAGCGGGTGTTTGTTGTTAGGAACACCAGGGGAACACAGAGAGGTTGGAGGTCCTGCTGGTCTCAAAACTAGTCAGGAAACTTCTGCCAAGCACATCAAATGTCAGGCCGGTTCCTAAATTCTTGTCCTCCTAATCTGATAAGCAAAGAAGGCATCAGAATAATATTTGGGAAAACAGTTTCCCATTAGCCCTTTATAAGTCTAGGAGCTGGACAAAGACATTGTTTTACTGTTATAACAGTAGTTATGTTATCAATTACTTCTTGATGGAGACTCACCCCAGAATAAGGAAGGATCCGAACAACAAAAGGGGAGTTCCTTGTTTTTTAACTCAAACATATGCCAAGAGAAGTGAAGCCATGGACCTTGGTTGGACAGCTTGGTAGAGGAAAAGCTAATCAGTCTTACAATCCAGGTGTCCATTTGCAAGAACACTCCTGTCTGGTGTAGACTCTGAACCCTGAACCTCTTGTGTATTGTTTCTTCTCTGGGATACAGTCTGTCTGCTGATAAAGCAGCCCTTAGATGGCAGGCATCATAATTTTGGATATGGAATATAATACATAACTTTCTCTAGGTCATCATGTTCATGAAAAGGAAAGTAAAACAGTCCCTCATTTTAAGTTGTAAATAGTCTTGGTGTTGGCTGGTAGAAAATGTGAGGTCCAGCCCTCAACACCTTGCCCCAAGGTTCCCCTGCTGGGCTCTGGTGCCCAGCGCTGCCTGTCCCCTCCTTGCTTTGTGGGGTTCCCCAGCCTGTGTTCCCAGCAGGAGACCATCACCCTGAGGGTCGAGCTGAGCGATGCAGGGCACGGGTGGTTTGGGGGCCAGGACTGAGCTGGTCTGGTTATCTTGATGCTTGTTAGGTTTTGGGGGTTGATGCTCTCTCCTTCCCATCATGTCTCCTGTGTTTAGACTCACTGTCCAATCTACCTGGTCAATGTGTCCAGCATCTCGGCCGGTGACGTTATCGCCACTGCTAAGATGCAAGGTGAGTCCGTGGGCTGGGATGGACAGTACACGTGTGTGGTTGGAGCCTAACGGGGCCCAGCAGCTCCGTGCACTTTCTGGCCAGGGTCCTGGGACCAGGCCCTGAGCCTGCCCTTCCCTCCTCTCTCCTCCTGTCTTCCTCAGAAGCATCCTACACTAGCCTGGGTTCAGTCCATTTGAGCCAGTGTTTTCCTCTGCACGTTTGTATGCATAACAGCTTTACAGAAATGTCTGTTATCTCTCCTGGATCTGGTAAAAGATTTCCAAGTTTTCAATCAATTCATTAATTGGGTATCTTTTAAAGTCTCTGGTTTTACTAGTGGTTGCCTTGGTAACCAACATGAAATCCTCGACCAGTTCCAATGGACATTTCAAGGAATACCCAAGAAGTTCCTGGAGAAATGTCAGTATGTGGGCCCAACTTCCCTTACAGCCACCTAGAACCCTGTGTTTTTTAACTCAAACAGCCCCGAGGCACCTGTGTGTCTCCTGTTGATGAGCACCTGGCAACACCTGAAGGTTTTGTACGTGCCTGTGCTCTCAGCCCGGCTCAGGGTGCCAGGGAGGTCCTGTTAACAAGAGAACAAAGTCACAGTCAACAAACCTGGGGCTAAAAATCAGCAAGGGCTTCCAGCCTTCCCACTGTACTGCCCCCTAGATCCCACCTCCTGCCTCTTCCCTAGAGGGACCTCCTTGGGTGTCTCACCTGTGCTATTGTCCCAGCCTCCCACCTCCATCTCAGTGCCCTCCAGCCCCGGCTACAGATCCCACCCCCAGTATGCTCCCAGCATCCAGACTGCCTGTTAGCGTTGCATTCGCACCCCTCCATCTTCCCATCAGCGCCCTGCAACAGCTGTGCTCCAGCCGAAACACGCCCCTCAAAGCACCATCAGTGCTGCCTATCTCAGTGCCCTTGCCCTTGTTTTCTTGGAGTCAGCATGGGGACAGGGAGCACCCTGGCCTTGAACACACCTGTGCTGTCAAACGCCTGAGTGAGGTTGGGCTAATCCCTTCCTTGACGACTTCAGCTCCTTCACCTGCCTAGTGAGAGGCTCAGATCAATGATCTCTCCAGTTCACTGGCTTCCTGCTTATGATTTGACCCGTCTTCTTCCAGGGAAGGTTGTGCTGGCCGAGACCACCACTGCACATGCCACGCTGACAGGCTTACACTACTACCACCAGGACTGGTCCCACGCGGCCGCCTACGTCACGGTGCCTCCCCTGAGACTGGACACCAACACCTCAACCTACCTCATGAGCCTGCTGGCCAAGTAAGGTGTTTCAGCGGGACCGCAGTGCAGCATTATCTCATAATGCGCACCAGTCCCGGAATTTGTAGATCTTTAAGATGATG